AGTGTTGAGACTGTTATAGACTATGAGGACTTTTGAAGTTGAACTGAATGCATTTTTTTTTTTTTTTTACATTATGATATAGCTAGAAGCCTTTGGGGGCCAACGAGTAGACTAAAGAGAATGGTTTGACTAAGAATGACCCCCATAGAATCACAAATTTGCATGCTTGGTCATCAGGGAGTGGCACTATTTGAGAGGAGTTAGGAAATATAGCCTCATTGGAGTAGGCGTGGCCTTGTTGGAGGAAGTGTCACTGGGGGTGGGCTGTAGGGTCTCAAAAGCCAAGGCAGTCCCAGGGTCTCTCTCTTCCTGCTGCCTGTAGATCTGGATGTGGAACTCTCAACTACATGCTGCATGCTGCTATGCTCCTTGCCATGATGACAATGGACTAAATCTCTGAAACTGTAAGCAAGTCCCAGTAAAATGCTTTCTTTTATAAGAGTTACAGTGGTCATAGTGTCTCTTTACAGCAATAGAACACTGACTAACAGATTCTGGTCTCTATATCTAGTGGCTGTTCTGTTCTCTGACCCCAGATAAGTTTATTAGGGTGCACAATATTTTGAGGAACATAATATCACCATATACTTATGTTCAGCACCTGCGCATTCCATTGCCATTCAGGGCTGAGCAAACACTGGGCATCTGACAATATGTAGGACAGCCCACACAGCAGTACAGCGCTGTCTCACATGGTGCAGGGCTTAGGAGTGCCCTGCCAGATCTACCCTGCACCAATACACATCTACTGCACCTGTGCATAAGATGTCTGAGATGGTTATGGAATAATACTAAAAACAAATAAATAAAATAACGTAAGAATGCTTCCGAGAAGAAAGCTTACACAGAATAAAGACACTGTCACAAACATGGACTTGACTTAACTTTGTTGAAGAGCACATCAAAGACATAACAAGGAGTTTTGAAGCTCCTTTGAATAGACTTGGATCTCTGTAAAAGTAGAGACCTTGCAAAATTTTCATTAATAAAAATTACTTAAAATATTTCAGAGCTATCTAATTTCAAAAATGTATATGCTATAGTAATTATTTTGGGGGTTGCTTATGGTTCATCTTTATTTGATACTGTCACCAAAAGTCTACCATGCAGCTTTTTATTAATCTCTCAACATTTTCTTTTATGTTCTGATCTATAGTCTTTTCCCATTTCCAGGAAAGGATACACTATCCAGTCTTTCACAGACTGGATATAGGCTCTGATAAGGAGGTCTAGTACATTTCAAGACTGGATGATTCCTGTTTACATCACCACTACCCCATTCCAAAGTGCACACAGACTTATTTTGATACAAAAAATTACTTCTCTGAAGATTATGATATAATCATATAATTTCTCTTGTCCCCTTCCTCTCTCTAAACCCTCTCATATACCCTTTCTTTCTCTCTTTCAAATTCATGGCCTATTTTCTCATTAATTGCTGTTACATGCACACACACACACACACACACACACACACACACACACACACATACACACACACACACACACACACACACACACACACACACACACACATTATTAATATTTTCTCATTGTCCTGGAGGCTGGAAGTCTAAAATCAAGGTATCAGCAAGTGCCAGCGGGTCATGTTCTCTTGGAAAGCCCTAGGGGAGGTTCTTCCTTGACTCTTTTCTTGGCTTCTGGATGTTACCAGTAATCCTTGTGTTTCTCTACTTGAAGAAGTGCCACATTATCTCAGCCTCTGTCATCGAAGGCATCTCCCTGTGTATTTCTGCCTTCACTGGCCTTAGCCTAAGGACATTAGTTATCGGGTTTAGGCCCACTCAACATAGAATGACCTCCCCTTAACTTCATTACATCTTCAAAGAGCTCATTTTCAAATCAGGCCATCTTCATAGGTACCTACAATTAGGACTTAACATACCTTCTGCGGGGACAAAAATTCAACTCACATGTTAGCTTTGCTTCAGCTAAATTTTTGTCTGTTTGGTCTTTTATAATTTGATTCAATATTAATTTTCTCTCGTGTGCACATACATCTCTGCCCTCCGACTTTCCTGGACTCTTCATATTATTTCTTCATAATTTATGATCATTGGTTTACACTGGTGCAAACATCTAATTACTTTGATGTTTTCTCAGGTATAATCACACTGAAGCCTGTATCCACATTATATTATTATTTTTATTATTATTATATTATATTACATTTACAGCAATTGGGTTTATATTTAAAGTATGTATAAGTAGGTTGTCTTTTTCAGACAGGTAAAGTAGTTGATAAGAACATGAGGTAGTAGGTCTAAGGTGATTAACAAGAAGTCACAGAAAAGCAGAGAAGACAGTACCGTAAAGACGGTGCCTTCAGAGACAAATGGAACAAAAGACTTACATGGGAAAGACGCAGCCCACCCTATGTGTCTCTGTCTCCATTTATGCCTCTTTCTCTCTATCTCTGAGACGGTATGACTATACAAACCATGCTGGCCTAGAACTTGCAGTAACCCTCCTGCCTCTGCAGCGACCTCTCCTTCCTCCCAAGTGCAGAAATTATAGATGTGTGACACCAAGTCTGGCTGAATAGAGTCTTATACCATCCTCTTTATTTCTACACCTTGAGATCTGAATGTGCCTCCAAAACATGGTACAAAATAAGGCCGAAGCCATCAGCAATAGGCTCTTGGATGACAAACACATGGTATGTGATTAGTTTGTGACAAAGTGAACGTCAAGGAACTGTACCACCCTAAAGGTTTTCAGGCTGAGGAGAGCGGGCCAAGAGAAGGACAACAAACAGGTCAAGGGGAGGAAAACTCACCAGTAAGCTCCCATAAACCTGGACAGCTGCTCACCTGGAGCCTAGGTGAGGTAGACCGGGGCACTGCTGCATTGCCTTTGGATCTTCCTTCTTGGGGATAGCCTACTCTCTGAGGAGCAAATCCTACAAAGAGAGGAGACAAGAGTCCTACATGAGACACTACTGCCTTGGGAAGTTCCCTTTGTTTGGACCCAGTCTCCTAAACCTCCTGTTTTAAAACATCTAAACTAAGATACAGATTTTATGAACTGAGATGAAAGTCACTCACATACACAATACAAATTAAAATCATAGGTAATAGAGAAAGGAGGAAGAAGCTGCTGGTACATGCTGTATTTGGGTAACATAGCTTATTATGGTTAATCCTCACACAAGACCTGTTCTCTTAGTATAAAACAGACATGATAGACAAAGGCCAAAGGTCGGGAGCCTTACATTTTAGAAGTACCTCTGAATCTGATGGCCTTGGGCAAATCGTTTAAGCTGAATTTTGGTTTTCCTAAGTATTAATTGAAGGTGTTGAGTAAGAAGATGTTAGAATGCTGAGCTGCTTCAGCAGCTAAGGGCTTGCCACCAAGCCTTGGGGCCTGAGTTTGATCCTCAGGATCTACATGGTGGAAGGACAGACTTGGTCCCCACAACCTGTCCTTTGACCTACCCACACTTGCTATGGCATATGCACAAACACCTCCCCCCACTACACATGCAAGATAATTAAGATGTTACAATTCTAACAGTTTGCAATTTTGTATAATTTTTAAAACTTGCTTTGCTATGAGAATTGCCAAAACCACAGAACTTGCTGTTGGTCAAAGACATAAACTTGTATTTACAGAAAGAGTTAGTAATGGATATTTAATGAACAGCATGGTAACTAACATGAATAAGAAATTGTATGCTTGAGTAGCCTATATTATTATTAATATATCAAGATAATGTCTCATTATGTTGCCCGGGCTGCTCTTGAAGTCCTGGGCTCTAGTTGGCCTTGGTGGAATATACCCATAAATCCAGCATTTGGGAGGTGGAGGCAGAAGAGAAAGAGTTCAAGGTCATTCATGACTACAGAGTGAATTTGAGGCTGGCATGGGCTACATGAGACCCTGCCTTACCCCACTCCCCCAAACACACAAAAGTGGGGATATAGCTCAGTCGGCAGAATTCTTGTCTAACATCTATAAAGCCCTAGGTTGGATTCCCAGCACAGTAGAAAACAGACAAAAAGGAGGGGTCAGGGAGATGTCTCAGTGGGTAAAGGTGCTTGCTGCTAAACGTGTGGACCTGAAGAGATTCCCAGACTCACATAATGGAAGGAGAAAATTGAATCCCACAGTTGTCTTCTGATCTTCAGACTCAGGCCATGGCTCCTGTGAGCACACAAATACACACATATATGGGGCGCACGTCTTTAATCCCAGCCCTTGGGAGGCAGAGGCAGGGGGATCTCTAGTTCAAGTCCATCCTGGTCTACATAGTGAGTTCCAAGGCAGCCACAGCTACATATTGAGACCCAGACTCAAAAACAAAACAAAACAAAACAAAACAAAGAAAACCCAAAACATCCCCCAACCAAAATGCACACTATACATTGATGTAGACATTTATTAAACATATCAGTGATTTGCTTTAAAAAAAAAAAACAAAACAAGAAAGAAATAAACTTGGGCTCAAGCAATCTTGCCTTAGCTGGAACTATGGGCATGTGTCACTATGATTAATTTCATACTCAAAATTTGTTAAGTAGATCTAAGATATTTTCGGTTTTAGATTTATTTGTGTGTGTGTGTGTGTGTGTGTGTGTGTGTGTGTGTGTGTGTGTGTGTGTGTGTGTGTGTGTGTTTATACACATGCATTCAGGCATGCATACTCAGGTCAGAGGACAACTTGCAAAAGTTGGTTCTTTCCTTCCATTATGTGGGTACTGGGGATCCAACTTAGGTTGTCAGGCTGAGGGGCATGCATGTTTACCTGAGCCATCTCTCAGCCCTTAAATACTTTAAACACACACACACACACACACACACACACACACACACACGGTGGGGGGCATGATATGATACTAAATTACTTTGTATCCAAAACCAAGAAAGAAGTCCTTGAGCTTAGAGACAATCAGTTCTCTTCTAAGAAAACCATGTATCTATCAGTGACCTCTTTCCAGTGTCCTCAGCAAACTCACCCTCCAGCACTCACCATTCACTTCTGGGGGGAGCTTTGGAGGTTCACATGCCAGAGGAGGGACCCCAGGCTGGAGGAACTGGAGGCTCTGAAATTCCAAAGAGGCACCTTGATATTCGGTCACCACTAGGTGCATGTCCTGTTCCTGAACATAGAAAGTGGCCTGGAGACAAAAGACTGACCTTGAAAAAGTATCCTGGGGGGAGCCAGAGACTCTCTCAAGGGAACACAGAACAAGCTCCATTTGCTCCTCCAGCAAGAAGAACTGAGACACATTCATTCAGCAAATTACACAGCAAACTCACTCAGACAGGCCCTCCTCAGTATCTGGGGACTCAGCAATCAAGGCAGGCAAGGCAGACAAAGGACCTGTCCCCAGAAACACACAATGAGCTATAGGCAAAAACGTAATGAGGACTAGGGTCTGTACACTATCTCAGAATATCTTCCACAAACTACAACATAACTACAAAGGGGGAAAACGATAATTCTCTAGAGAAGACATCTTGACGAGCACTCCCTTAACCTTGTGAGGAAAGGGCAAAATCATCCCTACGTGCCTGCGAAGAGTGACAGGAGAAGGCACTGCCCTCTGTGGAAGATATGGAGCAAAGTGGACAATGAGGTGATCACATTCAGATTGTAAAAGCATTTCCTTGATCTTCATAAATATATACTGAAGTACTTGGAGGTAAAGGGACATATTTACAATTAATTGACAGTTGGTTAAGGGTCTGCATAAATGTGCATGCAAAAATAATGAATTTGACTTGTAGGAAAATGGATGGGGTAGGTGGGGCATATCATGGAACTAGCGTTAGCAACAGCTTCCACTGTGTGAACAGGATACAAGCGCTCTAGGCTGTTTTTGTGGTCCCTCTGTAGTTAATTCAGAATAAAAGGTTAAGCACTAGCAAAACCACATTCCTCACCCCATTTCTCTCACACTAGCACTTTAGTTCATTACTTTCCCGCGTGCTGTCCTGAGTCTCCACGTTCCGAGGCTAGATTCTCCAGCAATGCCGCTGCCTCGGCCCCACTCTGCAGACCATACATCTGTACCCAGGCTTGGAGTTCTTTGGGCAGGATGGTCAGGAACTGCTCCAGCACCGGCAGCTCCAGGATCTGCTCCTTGCTGTGAGTCTCTGGCCTCAGCCACTGAGGGCAAAGTTCCCGAAGCTGGGCCAGAGCTTCCCGGGGCCCAGGGGCCTCCTGGTAACAGAACTGTCGGAATCTCAGGCGGTGAAGTTCCTGAGTATGAGTCCTGCCCGCCTGTGAGTTGCCTGGCTGCTCCCAGGTGGGATCCTCCACCTTCACTGTCACAAGGCTGTCTTCATTGTCAGCAGGGGAAGTCGACGAAGCTTCACACACGTCCGCCTCAGAAGGTGCCGCAAAGCTCATTTGGCTGAAGTCTGTGCTTCAGAAATGTACTGCTCAACGAACCTCTACAATCTAAAAATTGAACAGATAATTAAAGCCAAAAGTTTCAAAACCCTATGAAACATACTTTTATTTTTGTCTCCACTATGCTGTGCACATAGGGTTCCATGCACCAAAATCATATCCTGAACACTAAAGGAGTTGAGCCCAGAGGTAAGGGATATACCATGAGGAGAGAAAGGCTAACAATAAGAATGACTGCCCAGTCATGGTGGTGCATGCCTGAAATCCTAGCATGCAGGAGTAGAAGCTAGTGTGCTCTATTTAGCAAGTTCAAGGTCAGCCTGGGCTAAATATAGAGACTCCTCTCAGTGAAACTGAAAACAGCAAGACCTCCCAAACTAATAAACAGTAAGAATGTTTGAATGTATTACTCTTTTTTTTTTTTTTTTTTTTTTTTTTTTTTTTTTTTTGGTTTTTCGAGACAGGGTTTCTCTGTGTAGCTTTGCGCCTTTCCTGGAACTTGCTTTGGAGACCAGGCTGGCCTCGAACTCACAGAGATCCGCCTGGCTCTGCCTCCCGAGTGCTGGGATTAAAGGCGTGCGCCACCACCGCCCGGCAAGAATGTATTACTCTTAAGCTGGAGAGGAGGGATAAGTTGACACACGGAGAAACCAGAGAGCTGTGTTGGCAGAAACACAGTACCGTTTGAAGGTCATTTATCGATATGCATTGCACATTTCACTTTATTTGCAGATATGGTAATGTTCTTCCAAAGTTTCTGATCACCAAATGCCTTCTGGAGTGAGACCTTGCCAGGCATGCCTCCCATAATTCTTTCTCACATCTGTGCTGGCCTACAGCTTGAGTATGATGACACAGTAAAAGGAAGTGTCCCTCTAGCTCCTGAGACACTGCCCTAAGACAACCACACTGTGAGGAAACCCAAGCTAGTCATGTAGAGGTCACTTGGAGGCAGGGCTCCTAAGCTAAAGCCTACCTGGGCCTAGCGCCTAGATAGTTTATTGGCCAGCATAGCGACATGAGTAACTCCAAGCAGGACCAGCAGTAGAACTGGGCAGTCAACCCACAGAACCCCAAGAAACTGTTTTCATTCTTAGGGTTTGATTATTTTTTGACTAGAACAACAGACAGCTGACACAGCAGTTTCTTCAGTTCCCTCATCTCACTTTCTCCTTTGGTGACCTCAATTTCAGCATACCTCTTTCAAGGCCATGTGTATCCTTTATTGGCTCCAACTTGCCTTGACTCCAGACCCGCATCTTCCCGTGCTAGCAGGACGCCTCCAGCTTCCCGCCTGTCCTGCACCAACATTTCATCACATATCGAAAGGAAAACAGAGTCCCCTCACAGTGGTGTTCATTACGTATTTCTCCGTTTCTATCGACGTCAGCACTTCCCATGTGTTTAGGCTTAACACCAGGTCCCATATAATCATCGAGTTAGCTAATTATTTCTACAAAATGCTTCCTACAGCTATCCTTTCCTTCTGTTGCTTTAGTTACCATTTTCATCCACTATTACAATCATTTTGTTTCTTACTTCTGACCTCCCATCATTGGATTAATATTTCCTAAAGCACACTTTTGATCGTACTTCAACATGACTCCGGTGTTAGTGTGAAATACGTTTGTTATTTACTGCTTTCTTGCACACAACTCCTAAAATTCTTTGGGTGGGATAAGCTGTAAGTTAACCTGACGACCACTGAACAATTATTTAATTAATCATGCCTATATAATAAAGTCTCCATCTAAAACCAAACGGGTGGGATTTGTGGAGCTTCCAGACAGTTGGAGGTTGACCCCTCCACTGTAGATGTAACCAACCATCTTATTAAATAAGAAACACAGAGCCGATTCAGAGAAGAAAGCCAAGAGGTCAGAACTAAGAGCCTTACCCTTCCTGCTTCAGCCAAGAGAGCTCTCTGAAAGGGACCTACTTCCTGTGTGTATGTCTTTATATAGTCTTTCTGTTCTGCCTTCTCACTGGTTGTAAACCCAAACACATGACTGCCTCGTCATTGCCTGTCTGTAGAGACTTCCAGGTCTTCTATGGTTGGTATTGAGATTAAAGGGGTGTGTCTCCAATGCTGGCTGTATCCTTGAACACACAGAGATCTACCTAGCTCTGTCTACCAAGTGCTGGGATTAAAGGCGTGCGCCACCACCGCCATGCTCTTGCTATGGCTCTAATAGCTCTGACCCCTGGGCAACTTTATTTATTAACATACAATTGAAATCACATTTCAGTACAAATAAAATACCACCATACTCCATAGAGGGCATGGAAGCACCACACCCCTTAATCATATCCTAGGCAACACACGGGCATTTTCTGCTTCATCTGTATCCTTTGCAATATACTTTATAACACATCAGTAAGAACGGTTCCTGAGTTCTGTGAGAGCTCTGGGAGGGGTAGTAAAAACCCTGGTTTCCAGCCAGTGGGTCAGAAGCGTAGGTAAAATAAACTAGAGCTTACAACTGATGTTGAAAATGGGAACCAGTATTATGTCTTGTATACCTGAGCTTCTACATATAGGATCCATCTGTCTGCATTGAATTAGGGGACATCAATTGCTTGTTTGCTGGTGGGGACAAATCTCTATGACCTTTTGAGGTCAGAGGAGCGTTTCACACTGTTGTAGTGTGAGAGAGGAGTGAAAAATTGTTTCTTCCTGCAGACGGCCATTAAACACGGGGGTGGGATGGGGTGGGTAGGAGAGAGAGACTCCGCCTCCACCACCACCACCACCACCACCACCACCACCACCACCACCACCACCACCACCACCACCACCACCGAGTTTCAAACACTTTTCCTTGAACTAACTTCGAACTCCCAGAATCTGATTTTACCTGCGTCCTACTTTTAGTTTACCACCAATTATATTAAGCTCCCAATTCTTTTCCACTTGTAAAGTTAATCCTGGAATAAAAGAAGTTAGTTCCCACCTACAAGAAAACCATGGTCTTCCCAGTTCCTCATTCACCACACCCTGACATTTTCCCTCCCCGCTTTGAAGTGGGCCATCCTTCCAAGGTGAATTCTCACTGGCATGCGACCTACTCTGTACGTGCATCATCTTCCGAGGTCACCCTCAAACCTAATGTAGGGACGGGGAAAACTAAGCCACACAGGGGGCAGCGCGCCGGTAGGTGTATGCACTCTGTTCTCCAGCTTCTATTACAGCCATCCCTGGCCCTCGCAGTCCTCTGCAGAGACTCTTCAAACGCAGCACGTACCTGGTACCCAACAAAGACTGATGGACTTCTTGACGAATGTAATAGATGTGCCTGAGGTGCATTAGCCAGGGCTCTAGCGTGCCCAATCTACGCCAAGACATGTAAGCCAGCGCCTAGCGCCCAGCCGTTAAGTGTGTCTATTTGCTGCTCAAAGGTTTAGGGAAGGTGTGCAACGAGGATGTGCCGAGCTCATGAAAGGCTGCTCTGGGAGCCAGGAGGCCAGAGCGCCACAGCCTGGCGGTGCCTGCTGCTAGTGGGAGGCGGCGACGGTGCAGTTCAGCGGGTAGGGGTTCCACGGGATGAGGGACAGGGGGCACTTCCTGCAGATGGAGCGGGGCACCGAGGGGGCGCTTCCTGTAGACGGAGCTGGAGACCCAGAGGCAACTTCCGGCTGCCGCTGTGCGCCTCTGGAGCGCGGTCCCAGTCTCTGGTGCTCCGGTGGCGCCAGCCTCTCCTGGTGGTTCCAAATCGCCCAATCACGCGTACATTTACATAAATCATTTCAACCCCAAACCTGTGGGATGTGCCCGTGGGAGAACTCTTGCTTGACGTACTTACTGGGTTCAGTCCCCAGCACCCAAGAGAACAAGAGTTTCTTCCCCAGATTGGCATCCAGAGACAGCCACCAGTCGGCCTTTACCAGGCCCTGTGCGGGGAGCAGGATGAGTGAACAGGCACAAAGCCGCAAGGCGAGTAAATAAACAGAGTTTATATGGGTGACAAAAACCCAGGTAACATTAATTCAAGAATTATCCATATTCACATTTATTTCCTGCGTGGGTGTTCGAATTGCGGGTCGTGTGGAGGTCAGAGGACAACCTGGAGTCGGGGTTCTTCTTTTGTTATGTAGGTCCTAGGGATTGAACTCGGGTTGTCAGATACTCGCGGACCCATTTCCACAGCCTCCCTATGTTTTATAAATTTTCAGGACACCCCTTGAAACGTGTTGTTCACAGCAATATTAGCGTTTGAAGCACTTATGGAAATCACAATATAATTTTGCATTTTAGTTTTTTTTTTTCTAGGACTGTGGAATTTTTCCATAGCAGCCTCTTAAAAAATACTGTTTTGTATGCCTTCTCGTGAGCGTGCACATGTGGGTGTGGAGGCCAGATGCCCTGTAACTCTTCACCTTATTTTTCAGACAAGGTCTCTCACTGAATCTGGAGCTCCCTGATGCAGCTTCATAGGCTGGCCAGCAAGCTCCAGAAATCTCCACACCCCAGAGGGATTATAGCTGTGCACTACCATCTCTACCTTTCTACATGGGTTCTGGGAATCTGAACTCAGGTTCAAATGCTTGTGTGGCAGACATTTTACCAACTGAGCCTCTCCCAGCCCCATAAGCTTAGTTTATAGACATCACAACAACGGTATTCCACTGTATCAGCTACAATATATACTTACTATATCCTTACTAATGTAGGCTCAGGTTATATTCTTTATAAGTAATGCTATAGGAAACACCATTCAAGAATCTTCACATTCTTTTTAAAGCTTGAATTTTATTAAAAATGACTTTGAAACTTTAAACTCTTTATAGACTCTTCACAGTACTGTCAATAGTCCCATTTCCATAAGAAAGTATTCTTTATACTATCAATAAAATTATGTTTTCACAATGTTTTAAATATATTTGTTGTGTAAATACGACACACAAACTGACAAAAAGTAATATACATTTAAAATTTTGATAGTTCTCTAAGTTTTAAGGGCCATGCTGTTTAGGAGTAAAAGATGTTAATAGAAAAGCCAGAAAAAAGACTGTCACTTTCACACAACCAGTGATAAATGATTAATCAGCATGTAAACGGATGTTCAACAATAGACACAGAAAGCATGTTCTAAAATAGGCTCTATTTACTGAAGGATAGATAGCTTTCTTCTGAGGTTGAGGAATTACAAGTGTTATAAATACCTACATGCAGGTTTTTGTATGGATGTAAGAGTTAAACATCAAGGAGATTCATCAGATGCTCTTAAGACTTAACTTGGTGGTGCTGGGGACCTAAGCCAGGCCCACACACATGCTACACAAATGCCCTACCACTGAGATACATCCTTAGCATTTGTTTTCAGACAGGGTCTTAACATGTAGCTCAGGCTATATTTGAACTTGTGATCCCCCTGCTTCAGTCTCCTCTGCAACACAATGTCAGCTTCCAGGCTGTGTTTTGGTTGTATTATATCTATATTGTTATAGGGCTGGAGAGATGACTTAGCAGAACATACTGCTCTTCCAGGGGACCAGAGTTCAATTCCCAACACCCACAATGGGTAGCTCATTGCCTGAGACCTAACAACTCTGGCCTACTTGGATACCCGCCCCCCACCACATTATTTAAAAAAGATATATATCTTTAAAAATTACTAAAAAATACAATACAAACTTCTATCACAAATCTATCTTCTATCCCAAGTGCTGGGCATGATGAACACCTTTAATCCCAGCACTGGGTGGGTGGGGGGCTGAGGCAGAAGTAAAGATAAGCTAATTTAGAATTTATGAAGATAGGATGTAGACAACCAGTTACTTCCCTCTTTTTTTTTTTTTTTTTTTTTTGGTTTTTCGAGACAGGGTTTCTCTGTGTAGCTTTGGCGCCTTTCCTGGAACTCGCTCTGTAGACCAAGCTAGCCTTGAACTCACAGAGATCCGCCTGGCTCTACCTCCTGGGATTAAAGGCGTGTACCACCACCACCTGGAATATTTCTATTTGTTCATATTCTTTCTGTAGTGGTAAGCCATATAACTGCATTTATCTTCTATAAATGGGAGAACTGAGTGGGTGGAGATAACCAGTCTTCTATTTCACTCTGTATTTGGATATTAAAGGGACAGATACTACCCAAAGAGAAATGCCTGACCAAATATGTCATCATGGAGAAAGTCTAGACCAAATATCCAAGTAATTCAGAGTAATCAGGGCTTCAGATTTTAAATTTTTCCATAAGAACAAGACATCCTATATGCTTCCTCATTAAACTGAAAAGAATTCTTTTTAAAATTTTAACACGGAGCTAAGTGTTTATGCACTGGTCTCAGTATAGCCCTCAAATTATTTGGGAAAAGTACCCATGACCTCAACTTAATTTTCTTGTAAAGGCAGAAGAAAAAATAGGTTTCTTAGCTTATAAGCAGCAGGACTGACTTTGCATGAAGGCTTTTAGTGTTTCAAAGAGCTGCATCTACTGCTCTTACACATCTGGCCTCCCCACAGAAAACGGTGTTGCGCTTCTGGTCAGCTTGCTGCCAGTCAGATAGATCTAAGTGGAGGGAACAGGCCAGGGACTGGCAGGTGCGGTTCTGACATCTACCTTCCTTTTTATCCCTTCAGCCACAGTTTTAGCTCTGCACAAACAAGGCCTTTGCCTGCTTCCTTTGTCAAAGTTTTGGCCTAAGATACACACGCTAAGCAAATTTGGGGAAAGCTGCTCAACGTGGCCGACTTAACAGGAACCTCTTTTTAACCTTCTTCTGTCCACACTTTGCAAGACAGTTGCAACTTCAGCCATCACATGGCCTTAAAACCTGATGCATGGACTATGAGGACAGGGCTAAAAGGCCAGAGACTCAGACAGTAGTGACACCATGGATCAGTCTTTGACTGATTCCAGCTTTCTCTGTTGGACAAGAAGTGTATGAACCCAAGCTGGAATCACTACAGGGGTCCACTTTTCTTCCCAGAGTGGCATAACTTAAGAAGCCTTTTTCTCGGAGAACTATACCCTATGCTATTCCCAACCCAGAAGCAATTCTACCATTCTGGTGATGTGCCTGGGAAGACTCCTCCAAGCTCACTTTTCATCACTAGCAAGACAGTCAATGACACAATGACCATGATCATCTCTCCAAGATGATCTTAATGGTCAAAATTATTCCAAAATAAATATCATTTAAAATTTAATCATTGGTATAGAAGGGAAAAAGTCATTTTCCCCCATGGGACATTCATTAAAAAGTGTTTTTCAAATAGTCACTGTAATGGAACTAGAACTGCTAAGCAAGAAAGTTGCTGTTTAGATTAATTCAACACAGGTCACTCAAATGACTCAGTCTCCTGCATAGTTCATGTAAAACTTTGATTTATAACTTTAACAGTGTGACACTGTGGTTAAAATAGGTAGGAAATGTAAAATGATAGGAGCCAACCCAGGAGGGGCAGGCTCCATAGTTAAACAGCAAAAAAACCCTATCTTTGCTTTCTGAAGGGCACTCACTGATGGTTCATGTGTAAAGTGGATACAAGGTCAGTGTGTGGGTGAAACCAGTAGGAAAATATTTAGTTAACCTATGTTAGACTTTTGAGAACGTGCATTTCCAAGCATTATTAGATTTATTTTGGGCTTAATTTTTTTAACCATTTTTTATTTGTGTATGTGTGCATCTGTGTGAGTTTATGTGGACCATTTGTGTACAGGAGCCCAAGGAGGCCAGAAGAGGGCATCAGATCCCCTGGAACTGGAGTTACAGATGGTTGTGAACAGCTATGTAGGCGCTAGGAACTGCAAATGGATGGATCCTCTGCAAAGCAGGGAGTGTTAACTGCTGAGTCATCACTCCAGCCCCTTGGGATTTTGTTTTTTCGTGTGTGTGTGTGTGTGTGTGTGTGTGTGTGTGTGTGTGTGTGTGTGTGTGCGTGTGTGTGTGTGTGTGATGTTTGCATGTGTGGGGTAGACATGTGCGTGGGTGCATGTGCAATTGGATTAATATCAGGAGTCTTCCTTGATCATTCCACCAACTGCTCTCCAAATTCTCCCACCTGAATCCATGATTGTTGATAAAGCTAGTCTGGCTAATCCACTTGCCCTAAAGATTCCATTCTGCCTCCTGAGGGGTAGGACCACATTCAGGCCACTATACCCATTTGACTTATACCCATTTGACTTCTACATGGGGGCTGGGGATCCAAAATATTGTCCTTATACTTGCATAGCAACTGGTTTAACCACTGAACCATCCCCCCAACCCTCATTAGTTTTACTTTACAGGAGCCTGCTGCTATAGTACTTGCAAAAATAATCAGCTTGCTCTCATTCTATATAAATCTGTAGGCACTTGACTTGCTGATTTCAAAGATTTCATTCATACATGAGGCTATTACTTAGAAATAAATAATCATGTACTTATCACACTAAAAACTCTGAGAAGTCTTCTAGTGAAGAATTGTTTAACTCTGATCCCACCACCTAAAGTGAAATTATGATAGTCTCATTATGGCTTTAAACCAAAGGAGAGAAAAACAATGGAGGCAAATGGCTTCCAATTTGGCCCCCAAGAACTCTGATGCCAAGGTGACTTTTTAAAAAGCACTGTTTGCTTGTCAATGTAACATTCCAATATCTCAAACAGAGAACCTCGTCAAGCCAGTTTGCTCTTGTGGTGATGTCTCTGATGCTGAAAGAGACCTGACTTCTGCCTGAAGGCTTCTTTGCATTCACTACACTGGTAGGGTTTTTCTTCATTGTGGATTCTGACATGCTGGTCTAGGTGTGAGTTTAGACGGAAGGCTTTCTGACACACTTTACATTTGAAAGGTTTTTCTCCAGTGTGAATCCTGTGATGTCGAATAAGGTCGGAAGTCAAACTGAAGCCTTTCCCACACTCGTTACAATAATGTCTTTTGGCACGGCCGTGGATTCTCTGATGGTGGGTGAGGAGCAGGGCCTTACTAAAGGTTTTCCCACACTCCTTGCACTGACGGGGCTCCTCCTGACTGTGGATTTTTTGGTGTCGATTAAGATGAGAGCTTCTTCTGAAGTTCTTTCCACAATGGATACACAGATAGGGTCTTTCTCCAGTGTGGATTCTGAGATGCTCCAAAAGGCCTGCATTCTGGCTGAAGACTTTTCCACACTCTTTGCACTTGTAAGGCTTCTCACCAAGATGGATTTTCTGATGTCTGATGAGGTGTGAACTCCTCTGAAAGACTTTCCCACACTCATGACAGGGGTGACCTTTCTCTTTAGAGAGGACTTCCTGTTGCTCAGTAGGAACAGAACTCTGACACACTACAGATTCACGAGACTTTTCTCCTGTATGTGCCCTTTCGTGTTCAGTCAGGGCTGAGTGCTGGACAAGTCTCTCCTTAGTTTCCAAGCACTGGCTGCTAGTTTTCTCCTTGGGCATGGTTGGTTGCTTTTTGAAGTGCAAGTTCTCACTGCGGGACTCCATGGGTTTAGATGTTGTACAAGATGATTTGATTCTTCCACAATGGTCTGTCACTATAACAAGCTTCCCACTCCCATTCCTTGTTTCCTTACCTGAAACATTAAATATACATACATCACCACTTATTTAACTTTTCATGTTCAGGAAAAGGAATCTGCAAATAGGAAGAAATATTTAAGTCAAACCATGTGTACAAATTTAAAAGAATTAAAAGAAAAACTTTTATGTGTACGAGTGTCTTGCCTGCACGTGTACCACATGCATGCAGTGCCCATGAAGACCCTAAGAGGGCGCCCAGTTCCCTGGAACTGGAGTTACACAATGTTTCGAGTGGCCATGTGGGTGCTGGGAACTGAAACCAGGTCCTCTGCTAAAGCAGCCAGTGCTCTTAACAGCTGAGCCTTCTCTTTAGTCCCTACAAAGTTTAAAAAAATTGCTTGCTTATGATTATTTAAAATATATATGGGATGATTTATAAGAAATGGTGGTTTTGATTTTTGTTTTTTTCTTGAGGTAAGGTTTCAATATGCAGAATAACCTAGCCTAACATAAACCCTCTTCCCTTAGCCTCTCAAGTCTGGAGATTAGTCAGGTGTCAACATATCAAGCTTGACATCCAAGAAATTGTTAACCATGACTGCCTTGACGGAAGAATAGGGGTCGTGGTAGGAGGCAATTTATTTTAAATGTTCTAAATTTTATTATGTGATATACATCACACACACAGAAGCTACTAAGCATGACTGTACATTCTTGATCATGATTTGTCACATGGGGAACAAAAAAGCATAAAACTAGGTCACCCGAGGACCATCACATTAAAAAGGGATGGTACTTTGAAAAATGAAAATGTGTTGGCATAGTGACAATGTATCACTGAGTAGAATGTAATCTTAGAAAGGTAATTTAAGTCCTTCTCAATAAATCAACAAACAGCACCTGGGCCACAAGACCCTGAGAATAATGAATTTGCAAAAACATCATGCTGTTGAAATATGAAGCATCGCCCTCCAAGAGGGGACCAGAGGTTCCTTGACCTATTCATATGCTGCGAGTTTTTCTAAAATACTGAACAGAGAGGACAGCAGAGGCCAGCTTTAAAAATGAGAACAGCCAATCATCAATAGATACTGTTTACTCAAGGTTAGGGGCTGTAACAGATTCAGAGCACAATACAAAACCCTGCCCTTTAACTATGGAAAGACAAAGAGAAGGCAGGCAGAAACTATAATAATATAATGTAACAGAGAGCACATGTGGGACACTGACCAGATAGAGGAAGAATAAAGGGAGCAAGGAGGGGACTTGGAAAAGCAGGGAACAGAAGGGATGAGGCAGGGGAGACCCAGAAGAGAGAGAAACTAGAAGGAGAAAACAGGAAATGAAATGGGGCATGGAAGTACCTATGAGTGGGAGGCAGGGGACAACTTGTTATTGAACTTGGGGGGTGAGCTGCATCTCTCTGTTCCTCTTCCCAACATGGTCACAGTTTTCCATGTGAAAAAACAGAAGAGCATTATCCAATTCACTACGAGTTTTCAGGAAGGGGGAAACAATACATTCGTACTTAAGCAACAGAAAAGAACAAAAGGTAACTTAGTGGAAGTATCAAGAAGACACTTTGGAGATTTCAAGGCTAGCCTGGTCTACATAGCTGCAGTTGAGATCAACTGGGCTACAGAGGAAGACCCTATCTCCACAAAAGAAAAAAAGGACACTAAGTAGGGGGAGGGAGAGAGACAAGGGTTGAATCAGAGAAAAACATAAGGAACAGAACAGTAGCAAAGGAGAACCAAAAACAAAACAAAACAACAAAAAACCAAAACAACAAACAAACCAACAAACCAAACACCAGGCCGAGTCACCCCTCATCACTTCCACTTACAGTGATGTGCAAGAGATAAGAAGACATGAATAAGGAGACTTGTGTCTGAGCTTCTGTCTTTGCCTTGGGTAAGAAGAGAAGGTGGGTCCGGGTCCAGATTCACTTCTCCTTGGCATGCTGTTTATTTAAATTGTGGTTCATCTTTTAAATCTTGACTGTGGTACTGACTAAGTTTATTGTATATACAAAACAACTCACTGACTAGTGAGGCTACGGTGTGGACTGTATATATAAATTATTCCACAACAGATGTGATCAAATCAAAACACAAAAAGCTAAGAGTGCCAAGGCAGAGGGCACTGCATGGCCTACCCTAACTCAAATGCAAAAGAATTCCATTTAGTTCTTACCCTTGTTCTTCTCAGGCTTCCGCACCTCCCGCTCAGGCTTCTGCACCTCCTGCTCAGGCTTCTGCACCTCTCGCTCAGGCTTCTGCACCTCCTGCTCAGGCTTCTGCGCCTCACACTCAGGCTTCTGCACCTCCTGCTCAGGCTTCTGCACCTCACACTCAGGCTTCTGCACCTCCTGCTCAGGCTTCTGCACCTTACACTCAGGCTTCCACACCTCATGCTCAGGCTTCCGCACCTCACGCTCAGGCAGGACCAGCACAGTCTGTCTGTTTCCTTGGGTTGGGTCCTAGAGATAAGTACAGATAATTAGGAAACTGGTTTACAAGAAGCTATCTCAGTATTAGAAAGGAGAACAAAGAGGAACTTTACAGAGGCAGAGGAATGGAGAGCCTCCTCACACCAGGGGACGGAAGGGGGAGGTGAGGCTGAATGACCAGCAGTGAGCAGTGCCCTCCCACTGCTGTGCTCATGTCCACCTTTGTGACCTGGGGGCTCACTTCTTACTTTCCTGCAGAAGGACGCCTATACCCTTACCTTCTGCTGTCCTGCTTCTCCACGGTCTCGCTGCAAATCTTCCAGTATTCCCACCAGGTCCTCCCCAGTCTCTGGGTGGTGCTCGAGCACCTGGACCAGCAGATCTCTTGGCAGGATGGTCAGGAACTGCTCCAGCACCAGCAGCTCCAGGATCTGCTCCTTGCTGCGGGTCTCAGGCTGCAGCCACTGTCTGCAGAGCTCCCTGAGTCGGCGTAAAACCTCTCGAGGTCCAGTGCTCTCCTCATAGCGCAGCTGCCTGAACTGTTTGCTCAATGGCTCCTGCCCAAGGCCTTTTCTGTTTCCTTCAACTCTGAATCCCTGTTCCCAAGCACAGTAGTTTTAACAGTGGCTCAAATCACAGACTTGGATCTGCAACTATTATCTCTTTTGCGACCTTAAACTTTGAGTCAGATTTCTACTCAGCTCTGCAGATAATCATTTAAGGAGTGTCTCTCTGACAACTGGCAAACAAAGCTTGATAGCTCCTAATTTATCCAGCCTTGCTAGGACCCCCACTCCTCGGTTTTTCTTTTTGAAACAAGACCTCACTATGTAGCTCTCTGGCTGGCCTGGAATTTGGTATGTAAATCAGGCTGGCCTCACAGAAATCTACCTGCCACTGAGTGCTGGGATTAAAGTCCTAAATCACGATGCACAACTTCTAGTCCCCCTTTAAGGCTAATGTCACCAGATAAGAATAACTAAGTTATTTTCAAGAGACCAAGAACTTTGCAGATAGATCACCCATGATGGGATCCACAGGTACCAGCATTTGCTGCCTCAGCAGTAACGACTTCACTGGAGCTATCAGGACCTTACAGAACCAGCATGAAATAATGACTGATCCATTTGTCCAAGACAGATCGGCAAGGACTATCTATGTATGCTGTTTGCCCCCCTTCCTCTCAGCTTCTGTCCTTTTCCCATTTAATCCTCGAGTTCCTGTCAGGGCCCTAAGACAGGGCTTAGGACACTCTCTTCCTATTTCTTTACAATATGGACATGCTAAGTAATAAATTCCTTTCTTATTTCACTTCCACTCACCTCTCTCATTGGACTGAGTGGTAAGTCACTAAATTTAGTCTGTTAGGACCCCCAAGGTCAGCCCTCTGATTCCATGAACAGAAGTGATCCCCTCATTACCTGAAGCTCCTCCTTCAGACCCAGGGGAGCCAAAGAGTATGCACGCTTGCTAGGGTGGATCTGGGAAGAGGTATGTTTGGGAATAGAATATGATCAGAACATGTTGTTGAAAATCTCAAAGAACTTTAAAAAAAAAGAAGAATGCACACGGATACACACTCACCAAGGCCAGTGCCATCCCTTGCTGAATTCAGGCACTTTGTTTTGGAGAACTTTCTTGACCGTATCCTGAGGGACTCCTAAGAACACAAGAGTCACAGAAACTGCAGTGCTAGTAGTAATAACAGCGACAAGTGATCTTTCCTTAGGTTGTCTTCTCTAAAACACCTCTTTCTAAGTGTACATAAACAAAGTGAAAAAACTTTGATAGATTGCCACACAACCTAGCAATAGTAAGAAATCTGAAAAACCACCAGTTTTTGTTTGTTTGTTTTTCAAGACAATTTTCTCTGTGTAGCTTGAGGCTGTCCTGGAACTCCTCTATAGACCAGGCTGGCCTCGAACTCAGAGATCCGCCTGCCTCTGCCTCCCCATTGCTGGGATTAAAGGCAAGCATCACCAAGGCCTGGCTTGAAAAATCACCACTTTTAAAATCTCAAAATAAACACTTCAGTTGAGAAGCACAAATGAATGCTAAAACCACTGTGGTAAAAGAGGGAAGAACAGAATGTTCTGTGTTAACCACCACACTGTACATTCATGAAGGGAAAGTAAAGGTTTCTGGCAGCTGCAAAGGTAAACAAATGATCAAACTTAGCAGCATCAATATTAAGGTGATAGGATACAACACCAAATATCCTAACACCTAGAGAACACTTTAATAAATACTACTTATCATGAATTTACTGAGGAAACTTTCTGAGAAATCCAGAACTCTAGTTCATCTACAACAGGCATGGATCCAATTTCCCCCCACAAAAAGCAGATGCTAGGATGTCATTGTCTAGGTTAAGGAGCTATAACTAAAGGGAACATATAGAATTGGTGCTTATATTAAAAACAAAACACCAAACATCTAAAACCAGAGGTGGTACTTCAGGCCTATATTCCACTCCAGAGGCTAAGGCAGAAAGCTTACATGTTTTGAGGCCAACCTAGGCTACATAATGGGATCCTGCATTAATAAATGATTAAATGTAAAAGCCATTACTAGTAATCATCTTTTGTATGTTTGTGATATAGTCTGGCTATGTTACTCAATGTAGCCTCATGTGCCTGAGGCTCTCTATTTCAACCTCTCAAGTAACAAGGATGTGAGAGGCTTGCAACACCATGTCCTATCAGTAGAGGTTTGAAAAAGTCCAAGAAAGTGATGATTATTAGCCATAAAATATAGTTTGCTATTGTGGCTAGTTTATATGTTAATTCTTGGACACGTGGTGTGAAGATATTTGGTCAAACACTATTGTGGATGTTTCTGTGTTTTGGGATGAGATTTAATATTTAAATTAATAGACTGTGGGCTGAGTAAAACAGATTGTCCTTCATAATGTAGTGGGCCTCGCCCGATCAGCTGAAGGTCTGAGAACAGAAAGACTGATCCTCTCCCAAGTAAGGGAATAAGACTTCCTCTCTAACAGCTTTCAAACGCAGATACCAGTGTTTTCCTTCTGCCTTCAGCTCTGGACTGAGACTTCAGTTCCTCTGGGTCTGAAGTCTCTGGTCTTCACATCTGAACTAAATAATCAGTTTTTGTGGTTCATAGGTCTTCAGCGTACACTAAAATGAAATCATTTGCTATTTTGTTGTTAGTTTAATTCCTCCTGAAGATCTTCGAACTTGATAGCTGCCATAATCATGAGGTAACCTTTGTAATAAATCTTTGACTTTTTCCCTATTCTTTTTAAAATTAGCATTTATTAACTATGCACAACAAAGGATCTCATTATGGCATGTCATACACATGTATTTTGATTAATTGCCCCCTACTCCCAATGATCCTGTTCCCCAACAGCCCTCTTCTACTTTCACTTTTTAAAATAAGTCTCATTTTAGACATCTACTGACCAAAATTAATATAAAATTTGGTCCCATTTCTTTAAATAACTCTAATAAAGGGGCTGAAGAGATGGCTCACAGAGGGTACCATTGAGGGTCAGTCCCTGAACCCTTACTGGGTGGCTCACAATACTGGCAACTTCAACACCAGGAGATCTGAATACTTTTCTGGCTCCCAAGGACAACTGTACTCAGTGCACAAACCCAGACATATATAGACAATTTAAAGGCACCAAGAACTCTAGCACAGGCATAACACATAAATTAATGGTGACTCTTAATTAATCAGATTAAATATGTGATTAGTAATTAGATTAATTATAATAATTGGATTAATGTTATTAAATAGGTAAATAATTGTATTAAAATGTGATTCAATATAACAACACAATGCAGAGTAGGTTAGCCTGTCTTTGGGAGGGTCCATCTACTTTGACAGTTAAGCCAGAAAACTGATCATTCCCTCCTCCTCCTCCTCCCATATTGTATGTATATAATTAATCAAGTTCCGTTCAAAAATTATGTGTACGGGTGTTTTGTCTGCATGCATGTGTGCCCCAAGAGAGCCAGAAGAGGGTGTAGATCTCTTGAAACTGGAATTACCAATGGCTGAGCTGCCACGTGGGCACTGGGATTTGAATCTGGGTCTTCTAGAAGATTGGCTAGCACTTTTAACTGCTGAGCCATCTCTCCAGCAGCCCCAGTTCTTTCGATTCCGCAGCTTCCTATCCCTCAAATAAATACATCCTTCGTGTGTTCAAGAAAATACATGTTTCTTGATGACATGCTCTACTTGGAAGACTCTAACCCAGCAATCCTCAACCTATGGGTCGTGACCCCTTTGGCAAACCTCTATCTCCAAAATAATACATTGCAATTAATAACAGTAGCGAAACTACAGTCACAAAGTAGCAATGAAAATACTTTTGTGGTTGGGGGTCACCACAACATGAGGAACTGTATTCAAGGGGTGCAGCATTAGGAAGGTTGAGACCCACTGCTCTGAACGGTCTTCCTGACACCAACCTATTTCCCACACTGCACTTGTGATCTTCCTAGGGAGGAAATGAATCATATCTCCATCGTGCCTGTTGCACATAATGACTGGCCATCACCACTAAGATCAGGTTTAAAACATTTAAAATGCTCTAAACTTTTCTTATGCTTTAATGAACTACTTTCAGTTTCTCCAATACTTTGGTTTGCTTGTTTTTCTTGGGTCCTTATAAATCTCACTCTTTTTTTTGTTTGTTTATTTGTTTGTTTGGTTTTTCGAGACAGGGTTTCTCTGTGTAGTTGTGCCTGTCCTGGAACTCACTTGGTAGCCCAGGCTGGCCTCGAACTCACAGAGATCCGCCTGGCTCTGCCTCCCGAGTGCTGGGATTAAAGGCGTGCGCCGCCGCCGCCGCCGCCCGGCCTAATATAAATCTCACTCTTAATGGGAAACCCCTTCCCATTTTTTCTTCTTATTAATGACCACTCATGCCTCACGTCCCAGCACAACAAACAGGCTAACGGAGGTGCTCCGCCTGCTCTTCACTTGCTAATTCAACCTCCACAGAAGCCTATTAAGAACTATTTTTTTTTTTTTTTTTGGTTTTTCGAGACAGGGTTTCTCTGTGTAGCTTTGCGCCTTTCCTGGAACTCACTTCGTAGCCCAGGCTGGCCTCGAACTCACAGAGATCCGCCTGGCTCTGCCTCCCGAGTGCTGGGATTAAAGGCGTGCGCCACCACCGCCCGGCTCCAAGAACTACTTTTAACCTTATACTACAGAGGAAACTTGACATGGAGAGTTGAAGAATTTACACAAGGTCTTAAAGCTGAACTTTAGATCTTTTGTCCAAAAAAAAAAAAAAAATTGTTTTTAATCCACAGACCCAAAATTTTGAATTTATTTTTCCCTTCTCTCTTGCTGGTGTGCATGTGATCCAGAAGCGAATGCTTTGGGCTCTGCCTACCCACAACTACCACAACAGTCAGTCTTCACTGCCCACCAGAGCTCCTGCCAATTTTCCTCTTTCTTCCAAGGGCCTCACTCTGTAGCCACTAATGGTAATCCTCCTGCCTCAGTATCCCAAGTGCTAGTAGTATAGAAATTAGCTACCATGCTCAGATGCAGGTTTTTTAATTGCACCCAACTTTGAATTATTCTTGATTTCATTTCTGCTCGCCTTCCCATCTATTCCTATTATGAATTTCCAATTATAAACGCTTTAAAACATGTCGTATTATGTCTTTCACCCCAAGACCAACTTCCTCACACACCCGAAATGCCCACTTTTTCTTTTTCCACACACTTATTCTTTCTGGCAATCTTACTGCACTCGAAACACCCTGGTGACCTTGTTATTCCCTAAATAAGACAGACAAGCTCCAGTTTCCGGGCCTCTGTGCTCGCCGTTCCCTCGCGCATGCCTCTTGAAGGCACCTGCGTCCATCCATCTTCTTCAGATTATCTACTCAACCACTCTGGTTACTTACAGTGGAAACTACTTAAACATGCAGCAGAAGCCATGTGTGGGAGCGCCGGCCTATGAGCTCAGCGTTCGGAGGTGGAAGAAAGAGAAACAGGCGCTCAAATCAAGGGTGTCCTCCACCAAAGGAGTGACGCCACTTTGGGCTTGACGAAACGCTCTCAAAACAAAACCACAACAAAATAAAACCAACGGAAGCCAGGCGTGCTGGCTCACGTTTGTAATCCCATGCTGAGGCAGGAGGATGTTCAGGAGTCTGAGGTCAGCTTACGCTACACAGTGTGTTCCAGGGTAAGTACGAAGCTGTCTCAACAACAAACTGCGAGCTCACTACGTCCTCGGCTGCATCCCTCTCCCGTGCCCAAGAACCGTAGCTTCCGCCACGCACCCGCGTCTGGTTCTCCCCGCTCCGACGTGTGGACCGCTTCTGTGTACCTGCCAGGCGCGCCGCTCCAGAGTCCCAAGGTTGCCGATCTGACCCCGCTGACACTCGATCACCCTAGTCCACACGCCCTGGCTGCAGGGTCAGTCACATGTCCCCTCAGCGTTCCAGCCCAGTAGCTTCCGGCTCCACTCTAGGACAGTGGGAGGACTACGATTCAACTCGATGGTGCCCTGGCTGGGTCTAGTTGAAACATTTCATTTACACGAAACAGGCCATTCATTCCATTGGACTGTTTTCACGGACAGCGTCATCTCTCACTGGAACAACAAAGCTCGCACCGTAACTCCAGCCGCCAACGAACAGAGACAGGAATTGACACTTTAAGTTGGACTTTAGTCAAAGACTGGTGTGATCATGAAGGTTGGATTTAATACCACCACTCCAAAGAAGTCACCTTAATACCCCGTCTCAAACCAGAAGCTTCCTAGTGAAGCGAACAAAGTTAATTATTAGTGTTCAAGCTTATTCTTTATTCCTCACCTTTTCACTATCGCGTTCCAAAGACTTCTATGTGCGCCTTCCCCGTTGTTTGACTTCTGAACCCAGGCACCCAACAATGCTTTTGGTCTGGTTAATGTCCCGTGGTGTCAGATACGAGCTCTGCGGTCTTCTAGACCAATGGGATGTAAAGTTAACTCAGAACAAACAGGGCATTAAGATGGCTTGTGTGCAGATTAACTCAGAACAAACAAACCATTTTGTGTAAGTGCAGAGTCCTTCCTATGGTGTCTAATACAAAGTCCCCTACCATCCTCTTCTTCCCATCATTCCCCATTATTATCCATTTACTTTGATAAATAGGCTACAGTTTGAGGTTCATCTCCAATCATCAAAGTAAGAACTCCCAATAGGACTCTACCTCTTTCATGAACATATAACCGAAAAGACTTTTGCAAGCTTGTAATTTTCACAGCAGGAGCAGATGTCAATGCCCTTCTTAAAGGTTCGAAAACCCACAAATATTCCTGGGTCCATTCAAAACTTCATAAAGGGTTTAGCTGTCAGATCAAAATTTGGGATCAAATTCTACAGTAATCTGCCATGCCTAGGAATACTTTTAATTGCCTGAGAATTGCGATAGTTTTTTCCATTTGTCTAATTGTCTGTTACTGGTTTCCAAACAGGCTCCTCTTTCCAGGTTGGAGGAGGAAATTCAATAATTTCTCAGCCTGCTGACAGATTTGGGCCTTGCAGGCTAACAGTCCTAGTAAATGGTTTAAAGTTTCCTAGTTTCTAGTTACCAGAATGGTGTGCTGTAACATGCCTCCCTGCAATATTAGGCCTTTAAATCTTATCCTAGATAGATGGTCGAGCAGTTAAGAGCTCCTGCTGCTCTTCTAGAGGACCCAGTTCACAACAGTTTGGTTCTCAGCTTACAACAGCCTGTAACTCCAGCTGCCCAGAATCCAGTGGTTCTTCTGACCTCCTACAGGCATCAGTACACACACACACACACACACACACACACACACACACACACACACACACACACACACACACACAAGAAAATTGGCACATCTTGACCCAGTATCTCTCCAAAGATCATTGAATTCTAAGCCACCCCACCCTCACTCCACCTAATCCCCCAAAGTACTAGCAGCTGCACAATTTAGAGTTGTAAATTGTTGAGTCTGGTCTTATCACTTAAGAATGAAAAGGATCTTCCAATTCCAATAATAAAAACATGAGTCGTCTCAGGGAATGTGGTTCATCAGACTGCCCTCAGAAAGGAGGGCTGAGTGTACAGCTTGCAGAACATCAAGAATGGCCTTGAGGTCTTATACAAATGCACTCATGAGAGTGGGGCTTCTCCATTAGTGATACTATTGGCAATGTGTGGATGTATTACCAACAAGTCCGATTTCAGAAACTAACCTAATCAATCCTACTGCAAGAAAATTCAAATTCCCAGACTGATTCCTTTGCTGTGCCATTGGCCCTTAGCTCCTCGGATGCTCAGACCTCAGGCTTTACCTCAGTTGGAACCTTGCCATCCATTCTTCCAGAACCTACCTTTTGTAATTTCTTTCTAACACCAGGGATACTTTGTGAAATCTAGATCATACTCACTATCATGACATTATCCAGCATGTTAGGATCCATATTGGCAATTTCTGACACAATCCATAAAGTTGCTTCAAGAATTTGGTCTTCGCTGGACTCTTGTTGTAACATCAGAACTCTGTTCAGTCCCAGATTTGGGACCCCTTTCTAAGTCCTTTGAGGATACATCTCCAATATCTTTCTGAATGTTGCTGCCCGTTTCAGTTTAAATGCCAGTTGTCTTCGAGGCTGGAGAAAGAGTCCTGTGACCGGGTTGTTTTGATGCAGGCATCCAGTTTCCTCTTCTGCCCTGACCCAGTACCAGCCTCCTCAAGTCTGATTAAGAGGATAAGCAGGGCCTGCATGCCTGCGCAGTTAGAGCAAAAGTAAGAAGGGCAAAATGTAGCTAAGGAAATCAGCCCCTCTTGTGTGGTCTTCCTAGTAAGATGGCCCTGAGTTTGTTCAATTCAGGAGGTGAAAGGTGGAAAGGGGTGTATGGGCCCAGTGATACCCCCATGGCTGTTAATCTTGACCTACACCCAGAGGGAGATTTAAAAATGTCTACTTTATTTAGTGTGTGTGTGTGTGTGTGTGTGTGTGTGTGTGTGTGTAGGTCAGAGGACAACTTGTAGAGTCCATTCTTCCTTTCCATTATGTGAAGTGTCAAGTCAGTGGGGAGAATTCTCAAAAAGCTAAAAATACATCTACCAGGTACTACCTTGCACCGCCAGTCACACGTTTTCTGTCCTTCTCTCAACTTCTATAATACAGCAATATTTCAGTCACTATTCTGAATGTGTGTGTATGTACATGTTGAGAACAGAGGTCAACCGTAGGTGTTGTTCCTCAAGAGCTGTCTACTTTGTTTTCTGAAACAGGGTCTATAACCGAGTCCCGAGTCTTGCTAATTAAGCTGGGCAGGCTGGCCAGTGAGCCTCAGGGACCTGCCTCCTCAGTGCTGGGATTCAAAAGTACACCACCATGTCTGACTTTCTACACCACTGCTAGGTAAGAACTCAGGTTCTCATGCTTGGGCAGTGGGCACTTCATCAAGTGGACTGTTTTCCCTAGCCCCCATTACTCTGAATTTTTAAAAAGAAAGTTGCTATATATTCGCAAAAACATATTAATAAATACATCTTAAAGGGGAGGGATCAGTTCAGTTCCCAAAACCCAGCTCGCAAATGCCTGTAATTCCAATTCAAGGGGATCAAACACCTTCTTCCAGCCTCCATAAGTACCCACACAGACATGACATAAATACACACAAACATATACACATAAATAAAAATACATGTAAAACCCAGAAAATTATGGAACCCATAATTATCATAAATAATAAAAATCTTACAAATGAACCTAATACATTTAGCTCAAAGTTAAACATTACCAAATCTGTAACTTTAAGTCATCATACAAATGAAATAAAATTGGGTGACTTTCTCTCATGCTAAAATTTTTAGTAAAACTATGTATGCATTTATGACCAAGAGGAAATAGTAAAGTAAGAATTAGGGGACACGTCTTGTATAAAGCAAAAATAAATACACTGTCAACCCACGCTCCCTTTTGATGGTAAAGTATTAAAAGCACCTACATAAAAGTCCAGCTGAACTTGTTAGAACATACAGGGGTTTGTCTTTTGTTCTCCAAAGACTCATGTGCTGAAGGCTTCATTCCCAGCCTGTGTTATTGGGTTGTCTTAAAACTTTCATGAAGGGCCTAATGGAAGAATCTAGGTCACCAAGGGTACTCCCTTGAGGAAATACTAGGACCTCAACTTGTTTTTGTCTCCTGGCTGCCATGAAGTGAACATACCTCTGCCAAGTGTTCTCTGCCATGATGCCCTGGCCTGTCAAAGGCCCAAAGCCAGAAACCTTTGAAAGTAAGCCAAAATAAATCTTTCCTACTCCTAAGCTGCCTTAGGCATCTGTCACAGCCATGCAAATCTAGCAGAACATTGGTAATGAGGGATAGACTTGCTGTGAGTGTTCCTGATGATGTAGTACAGAAGCCTTTGGAATTGCTTTGTTAGGGGAAGTGGCAGGGATGGGTTTGGAAAAGAGGCTCTCTTGTTACGATGTTCTACCTGCCACAGGCCTAGGGTAAGAATTTTGACAACTCTGGGCCAGCAAGATGGTTCAGGGGGCCGTGGCAGGTGGGGGTGGGGGTAAAGGTACTTGTTGCCAACCTGACAAACTGAATTCAATCCCTGAAACCCACTTCTGGAAGGAAGAACAAAAACTTGTATGTACCTACACATACAAAATAAATAAATGTAAAAAATAAATCAAGAAAGAATTTTGCCAAATTTGTGTGTGGGGGGGGTTGTTTGTTTTTTTGAGAAGTCCTGACCCTTTGCCTCCTGAGTGCTAGTATTACATGTATGTTTTACCAGGCCCAATTCTTAACAAGCTGTTTATAGCCAAGGACCAGAAATACCTTTCGCTGTGATGTAGATACATAAAAAATAATTTTTTTGGTGTATGTTTGCATGTATGTATGTACACCATGTTTGTGTCTGGTGCCTGAAGGGGACAGAAGATGGCACTGGGTCTCCTGAACTGGGGTACAGGCAGCTGTGAGCATTCATGTGGATCTGGGAACTGAACCTATGTCCTCTGAAAGAACAGCTAGTGCCCTCAACCATGGAGCCGTTTCTCCAGCCTAATGCTAGAGATATCAAAAAAAAAAAAATTGCTGGGCTGTGGTGGCATATGCCTCTAATCCCAGCACTCAGGGGACAGAGGCAGGTGGATCTCTGAGTTCGAGGCCAGGCTGGTCTCTAGAATAAGTTCCAGGAGAGCCAGGAATGCACAGAGAAACCTTGCTTCAAAAAAGCAAATCAAGCCGGGCGGTGGTGGTGCACGCCTTTAATCCCAGCACTCGGGAGGCAGAGCCAGGTGGATCTCTGTGAGTTCGAGGCCAGCCTGGGCTACCAAGTGAGTTCCAGGAGAGGCGCAAAGCTACACAGAGAAACCCTGTCTCGAAAAACCAAAAAAAAAAAAAAAAAAAAAAAAAAGCGCAAATCAAATACACACACACACACACACATATTTTCAGTCACCTTATGTGATTTTTATATTTTGTGAAATACTGTATTTTTATGAACTCATAAAATAATGGTCTATGAGAAATTATGCTTCAAATTATAAGTTAATCAGCAGTAGTGACACTAATTTAGTTTCTCCACACTGACTAAAACTCAGCATAGTTCTGGAGACTTGATCAACTTCCCGTGTCAGCAGAGTGATAAACTGATTCTAAAAGCTAAGGCTGAGGCAGGAGGATCACCTTGAGTTTGAGGCTAGCTTGTGCTATGGACTAATCCTCTTGTACTCTGTTGCCCCACCTGCAGGACTTCAACGGGTTCTCGACCACCCTAAGGATGGAATGATAGGGACAGGAGATACAAAGGAAATACACCAAGTCTAGATTCTGATCAAGGTGCAACTTTATTTTTCTCCAAGAGGGTTTATATAGTTCCTGCAGGGTGGAGGGAGCAAGAAGCTGTCATCTGCATAAGGTGGGGCAAGCTAACAGGATGTTTGTATAGGATGTTTACAGGGTGAAAAGGTCAAGGACTCTACTCAATATCCTGTTGCTAGGCAACCTGACTGTAAGATGATCTAGTTCCCTGTCTTATGGGGGTCTGTATTTTTCCACTAACTAGAGATTCTATCCTTGTCCCTGAAACTCTGTAAAGATTTGTCCCTGGAATTGGTTTAATAAAATGTTGATTGGCTGGTAGCTGGACAGGAAGTTAGGTGGGAAAGCCAAACTGATGGGAAGAAGGAGGGCAGAGTCAGAGAGTCACCAGCCAGACACAGAGGAAGCAAGATGAGAATTCTGTACCAAGGTACCAAGCCATGTGGCTAAACATAGTTAAGAATTATGGGTTATTTTAATGGTAAGAGATTGTTAGTAATAAGCCTGAGCTACCAACCGAACGTTTATAAATTTATATAAGCCTCTGTGTGGTAATTTGGGAAGCAGCTTCTGAGTATTTGGGAGTTGTTAGCAAGACAGAAACTTCTGCCTACATATGGTGTGGGATGTCTTTCTGTATGCTGTGAATATTTGTTGCTCTCATCTTCCCAGAAAGCACCATTGCAGTATCCCCTAACCTAAAGATCAAAAGTATGGAGATTAAATGTGCCATTTAGATTTTCACTAGTAACTGTCCCAGGGAAGCCAATTTTTTAGATTTCTAGCCTTATATGTTTTTCATAGTGTGCTGCAATTTGTAATTAACTTTTTCCAGTTTGACCCCAGTTGATCATAAATTCCATGGTGGCAGTGGCTAAGGCTAACTTACAGATTTATCTACAGTACTTACAACACACAAAGCACTATTTTCCTCTTTACCCAATAAATATCTGTACAGAGAAAATACCTTTCAAGGTTGGTGCTCACAGCTGATGAAAATGAGGACCATGACCCACTTCTGAAAGCCTCCACCGTCCTTGCCCCTGCCTGAGGCACCAGCCTGCTCAGACTTTCTTCCAGTGCTCTCCTTATACCCCTGTCATGAACCAACACGTCTTGTTGGCTTGAGTTCATTTCTCTTGACATTAAGTCAGAAGCATCCCACATGTCCAGAAACTCTTACATACAATGGAAATTACAAAATCATTTAAAAATTAGATTCATATTTATTGATATAAAACATTTCCATTATTTACTGTTAAGTGAAAAAAAGTGTTCACCCCTGTTTATAGTGAGGTAAAGTTTCTAAAAAATGGAATGTGCACAGCTTTCACTAATTTCCCTCAACCTCCTTTGGGGCAGCCTGGAGCAAGTTATAACACTGAATGAAGGTGTCCTTCCATACCATACTGTCCTTCAAGATTCTGGAACTCTCTCCATGCTGTGAATTCTATGGGGCTTACTAGTGTTTTGAGCCTTGTAAAAGAAGTTTCTCAAATGAGATGAGTTAGTTTGGGTAGTGCTGAGATATTGGGGTCAGTAAATATCATCATCCCAATGGACAACAAAAGCCTTATTGTAGATCTTAAGTGCAGCTCACTCCAAGGTCTTCACATGCTTTGCAAGCATCTCATTCCTTGCATCTCCATAAGTGTTTTTTTCCTTCTAGGTGGTCCTAATCTACTCTTTGGAAGACTTCAGCACCTTGGATCTTCAGCTTTTCTATATTGATTTGTGGATAAAACCTGCATCCATTTCAATCAGGATTTGGCCGATAAAATCAAGTTTTTCTTCGAAAACTACCAGCACATGTTATGAACACACACATTTTAAAATTCAGAACTGCAGCAGGCACTTATTGGCTGTCTATCTTCCCTGTCCAACATGGCATTTTAAGAAAGTCATGTCCTCCTATGTAGCCTCCATACTGACCCCAGGGTAAGCTATTCTGTTCATCAGGCAACAGTACTTATTTTAAGCAGATATGTTATCTACACTAATCCAACTAAGGCAAAAACTTGTTAAGGATACCAAGTCAGAAATATTCTTTCCTGGCAGTGATCTCAGAAACCATACAAATGTGGCACTGTGGTAAGAAGCATGGACTACACAGCCTATGATGTGCTCACTGGGTGCTGGTAGCTGAGGGTGGGGCCCTTGGGAAACTACACAAGATACACACTTCCTCTCACTGTAACGAAACAAATGGAAAACAAAAATGGTATTAAAATGGTGAGAGTAGGTAGTTCTGCAGAGCAATCTTTGGGAGATGTTTACTATAGTCTACTGGAAGTTGGGACATGACTTAAAAAGATGGTGCTTTGGAAAATGTGAAGGCTGCCAGTGAACTCTTCTATCCTCTATCATGGGAGGTAACTGTAGTTAATGAAGAACTTGCAGAAAACCCAGAGTGTCTCAGCAGATCCTGTTTTAAAATGCTTCACATAAAGATGGCTCTAAGTACTTCACTAGAAGAACTCCGTGAAGAAACATATGAGAAATACACAAAAATATGGAAATGAATATGACATCTTAAACTACTGCGAAGCAACTTACTTCAATATGATTGTCTTAAATTAATAATGGATAAAAATTTCAGTAACATTTAGTAATATACACAGAGAAGAAATAACTCAAATACTGCTACTGGGAGAAAATACCTCAACTCGCTAGTGATTGCAGATAAACACAGTATACATATTTTTGTATCTATTTTCAACTAGGCTCTGATGTTCAGAATTTATGAACACATCACTTATAAAAAGTGGTTATGAAAGTTCTATTATATCAATAATTTCAGCAACAGTACATATTAACAGATTACCAGGATATTGTTATCATTAGCCTTGTATACCACTGTAATTTGCTTATATACATCCCATTTTGGCCCAAACCATGATCTTCTCATTGGCAATAAGTGGGAGCAGAGGAAAACTGGCATAGGGTCAGATGAAGAGCAATACTATCTTAATTTTACAATGTACCGCAGTTGATGGTGCTACTTTTGTACTATGAAGAAATAGCATTGTATCAAAGTAAGAAAATGTCCAACTCCTTCAAAAGAAATATTCTTTCAAGAGAGTTGGCAGCTCTTTTTTTCTATAAGGGAAACCACTCTAAAGAAAATGAGCAGTGGAAAAGGAAGATGGAGAAAAGTCCCAAGTTCTATTAACATTATGCTGGAAACATAGTTTCCCAGGCTTTTCAGTTATAAACCACAGTCTTTAACCAAGTCTGTTAACTACAGCCAGCAGAACACAGTCCATTGAATCAAAGAGATCCAAATGGTTGCCTTCTTGGGTATTATTGCGCTCACGTTCTTTTTATCCTCCTGGGACAAATGACTCCAAAGGGTAAAAATCTTCTTTCTAGGGGGCTAAAATCGCAGTAGCAGATGGGGGTAGGGCACACTCCCATTTAGTAGCAAGATACCTTGTATATGCACAAAACCATGGAAGGATACAGAAGACACTTTGCTCTTGGGGGGGGGGCGGCGGCAGGTAAATCAGGGACTGGAGTGACATTCACCTTTTTACTCATTTCCTGCAACGTTTGTAAAAATTTCTAATGACATCTCAAAAAGTGTTTTTCTAGGGTACTTAGTAACACAGTAAGTACAATATCACTGGTAAATGGTAAAGTCATTTACTATTATTTTGGTCATACAAAACCTTTGTTATTAAAAGTCCTGCATTGCAACCAACAAGTTCTCACTTGTCATCTTTCCCTTTGGTCTTTCTGTACACCATTTCTCGAAAGCTGGCTAGGATCTTGTTCTCTCTCTTCCGCCTCTCCTCCTGGTTAAAGGATGCAAGGGCTCTTTTCTCATCCGCACTGTAAATCTGGTTCTCTTTGCGCAGTCTCACAGCCTCCATGCGGCGATGCCTGCTACCACTCATGACGTAACCTGAACATTCAAATGAGGCAATCTCTTCACTCGTCAACCCAATTTCACCCCTTCGTGGGATACGCTTTCCAGCCTTTACATATTCAGCCATAGCTGCACCTTCACCTGGAAGCAGAGCGTGGCCATAATTCAAAGGTTTCTCATCTTGCGAGGTATGTATCACAGGTGCTTCTGGGCCTATTAAATCCATGGCATCTGCACTCATCGACTGCTCCATCCACGCGTCTTCTGGTAATTCCCTTTCTAGAGCTTTGCAGCTTACGTCACCGTATTCCTTTTCAGTCCTCCTCTTCTTCTTGAGTTGTTTTGCCCGGTGTTTCTTTTTCTTCTCTTTCCTCCTGGCTTTAGCTTTGTTTTTATCACCACCAGAGCTAGAATAAACGTCAGAGTCTGAATTGCTGTCATTATCACAATACTTCCTATGTTTCCTTTTGGAGGGCCTTTTCTTCCTTTTTCTCTTTGTCGAATGGCTGGTCTTGGTCCTTTTTTCTTCCGTGGTGAAATCTGAACTGCTGCTCTTCAGATTCTTCACCTCCTCTTCAGCTGATGTATGTTCATCGGAATCTGGCTCAGGAAACTTGGGCGACAACCCCCACACCTCGGGCGCTCCCAGCTCTCCAATCCTCTCTCTTTCCTTCAGCCTCCTCTGCCTATAGCTCTCCTCCTTTTCCTTCTCCTGGTCCTCGGCCCACAAACGGTCTCCCGCATAGTGGCGGTAGCGGTGCCCGCCACAGATGGAAGCGGAGGACGAAGGGGCAAACGTGCAGACCCCTGGCGGCGGCCGCTCTCCAGCCCGGGGGCGGCTGGCGGCGTGCGCTGGGCGGGGCCCCTCTGGAGCCCGCGGAGGCCCGAGCCCCTCGCACCCGCTCAGGGCGAGGCCGACACCGCCTCCCCGAGGGGATCGTCGAGGCTGGGACACCGACGGTGGGCTGCCCGAGCCACGGCGGCCTTTCTGAGAGCCCAGAGTGTCCTCACTAGGGCGGGATCGGGACACAGGCGACATGGGCCGACCTCAAACCGCCAGCAGCGCGGTTACTACGGAAACCACATCACGGAGAGCGTGCCTGCCACACACGCCACGGCCACACACGCGGGCGCCCTGGGAACGGCCCGGCGGGCTGCCACTGGACGCTGTTCCGCCCTGTGGTCCAGCGGGGTCCTGGTCGGTTCCTAGGCGCAGAGCCTTTGACGGAAGCGGAAGTGGCCCCGAGACTGCTCAAGAGCCCTTTTCCGCCTCTGGGAGATCGACACTAACCCATTCCACTTTTCATGATTTACGTTCCCTCCATTGAGCCCCCAGGGTAACAAAAGGAATTAATGAGTCCATCTTCTGTATGTATGTATGTATGTATGTATGTATGTATGTATGTATGTATGTATTTTCTATTGTGGAGAGGCCCCCAAACAGCTTGACCACACAGCCACCATGATAGGCTTAGGGGCCTAGACACAGCTTCTGTGACAGGCTTACTGGCAGGCAACACCCAGATCCAGGAAAAGCCTTAAGCTGATACCACCTAGGGATCCACCCAGGGATGAGGAAATACCTGACATCCCAAACATTCCAACCATTAGATAAGGTGGCCAGATGTCCCTGAGTTTAGCACACACCTGTTTTTGTTTTAGAGATACCCTAGACAATTGTCAGGCAATCAGGGTCATGAACCCTGGAAATCCCCCTCACCCCAGCCACTGCTATGATAAAAAACCCCACCCTGGGTTCAGGGCTCTCTGCTCTCACCACTGCATTGGACAGACAGAGGGACCAAGCTCAGAGCTTGAAGAGAATAAAGGCTCTTTGCTTTTACATGTGGGATTCGGTCTCTGTGGTGGTCTTTTGGGGGTCCTTGTGATCTGGGCATAACACTATTATTATTGTCTTTTTTTTTTTTTTTTTTTTTTTTGAGATAGGGTTTCTTTGTGTAGCTCTGGCTGTTCTGGAACTCACTTTGTAGACCAGGTTGGCCTCGAGTTCACAGAGATCCACCTGCCTCTGCTTCTTGAGTGCTGGGATTAAAGGAGTGCACCACCACCGCCTGCCTATTTTCTATTATTAGTAAGTGGAGCATATGCAGCCCCAGTTGGCTTGGAGCTTGCTAGGCAGAGAAGATGATCTTGAACTTCTGGTCTTCCTGTTTCCACCGCTCAAGCACCAAGATTATAAGTTTTCACCACCACACTGGTGATGGCTAAGAACATTTAACTCTGTACCAGTCACCTCCTTAATAGTTGTTGATCTAAAATTCCCATGGGCTCCTGGAGGCCTGCGTCCTCCCCAGAACGATGTTACTGCCGTGAGATAAGAATGAAACAATGGTGAGCGTGCTGTGAGATAACTGCTTGCCTTGGCTTTCATAAACCCACTTATCCCTGTGGGAAAGGGACCCGCGCAGTTTTCTCTATCCCTGTGGAGCGGAAGTGAGAGACAGCTAAGAGGAGCAGAGCAATTTTCCCATGCAGCTGTGGGTTCCATCGAAGGGAGATAATTATAGTGCCCACCTTAAATATGCTTCCCCTTGCCATCTATGGCTCTTGATTTGGTTATAAGGCAGTCGTCCTTCCTGCTACCGAGAAGAATAAATTCATTTGATTTTAATCTAAATTTGGGTAGTTGAGTCTTTCTCAGTGGATTCGAACTCTGTGTCACATCCATCTCATCTCTCGGATTTTTGTGTTTTACCGCCATGTGGCTCACCGTACCACTTTCATTGCTGCCCCCACTTTTTCTTGTCAGCTGCCTGGTGTTGCAGGTCTACAATCCTAGCAACCAAGGAAACTGAGGGAAGAGGATGGCTGGTTCAGGGTCTTACGGCAACTTGATGAGATCTTGCGTCAAACAGTAAGAGCGTTGGGAGTGTTGCTTAGTAGTGGTGGAGTATGCCTTGTGTTCACATAGCCAAAGGCTCAGTGCCTGGTGACTCAGCAAACAATCCTGTTTGTCGCTATTGGAAGCAAAACCCAGTTTACTTTTAGAACCAAAGTTTGAGCTTAAGTTTCTGATAATAGAAAATAAATAAGTAAATAGGTAATTCCAGAGTCTTGTTTTACTTAGGTTTACAGACTTCTGCTCCAGAGATATAGACACATTAGTCTGGAAGGTTCCTCTTTATTTAAGGACGTTTCTTTTGGTTAACCGGCGCTGCTCCTCGTGGCTGGCCACCAACCACAGCGGCCATGCGGGCAGAGGAGAGTGCTGATTGGAAGAATCACAGCCATGGTTACCTTTTTAGAGCTTTATTGGTGGGGGGGAGGGGGGAGAGGGGAAGAGGGAAAGAGGGGGAGAGAGAGGGAGAGAGAGAGAGAGAGAGAGAGAGAGAGAGAGAGAGAGAGAGAGAGAGAGAGAGAGAGAAGAGAAGGAGGTCCAGACGGAAGGAAGGAGCAGAAAGGAAGGAGAGGAATGCACAGAGGGCCCAACTGCTTTTTAGGCTGGGACACTGTCACAGGCTGATGACATAATTAAGGACAGAATCCTTACAATTTCTTCACTTGGAGTTACCTCTGGAGACCACTTTACATCCTATAACCTGAAATGGCAAACTTTCATGTAAGATAATTATTCCCTAATCTGAAAATGCAAACAATCATTGCAGTCTAGCAGGCTGAGCTTGAAAGGACCAAACAGATGCCATAACAGGCTGCTCAGTCTTCTCTCAGAGATCAGGCCTCAATTTCAGTTTCCTGAGACTTGAGCAAGTAGTTTCTGGGAGGGCCATGAACAAAAGACATAGTCCTTGCAGTAGCTCCCTTTCTGCATGTACTTTGACTGCTCAAGGTTCAGCCAATTGTTTACTGTCTGGGACTCCTCACCAACTTAGAGCTATGTGCATGAGTCAAGGACAGAGCCTGGGCCCCGAGTCGGCCCCCACAATCAGTAAGTGCTAGGCCAGCCAGTTTCCATGGCAGCTCAAGGACAAAGCCTGGAACTTGTCCAGGCCTGCCCCAAAATGGTAACTATAACCTCCAACTAACCCTAGCCAATTAAAAGTTACTAATATGATTGCCATTCGCATAAACCAATGCTGAGTCTGTTCCTGCATAGTCCATAGACCCCCAGTTGCTACTGCCCCATCGCTACTCAGGGTCTCTCCTGCTCTGCTGCTGCGTCAGATGGACGGAGAGTCCCGAGTTAACTCGTCGTAAAAAGACTCTTTGCTTTTGCATCGGATTCAGTCTCTTGGTGGTCTTTGGGGGACTCTTGGTACAACAAGCTCAGCTGAAAAACTCCCAAAGTAAGATAAGTCAAAATTTAGGAATGATGCTTTGCTGAAGCGATACCTGTTGTTGTTTTGTCTTTTAAAAGGATTTTATTTATTTATGTGTGTGTCTGTGTGAGTGTATAGCATCTGTGAGTGCCTGTAGGGGCTCCCCCAATAACTGTAGTTACAGGCAGTTTTGAGCTACCAGATGTGGGAACCAACTCAGGTCCTCTGCAAGAGCAGCAAGTACTCTTAACTGCCGAGCCCTCTGTTTTTGATTTTTTCAAGACAAAGTCTCACATAGCCCAGAGTGACTTCAAACTCACTAGGTAGCCGAGGCTAGCCTTGAACTCTTGATCTTCCAACCTCTACCTTTGAAGTGTTTGGATTATAAGCATATGTCACCACACAGCTCTGATACTAGGACTCTTAAACAATAAAATATATTGAAACTGAATAGAAATGGGACAGGACGTCTGTTCTAAGAATATCCTTCAAATAAAAAAAAATTAAATCTGGAATCAGGGGTTGGAAAGGTGGTTCAGTGGATAAGAGCACTGGTTGCTCTTCCAGGTGACCTGAGTTCAGTTCCCAGCGCTCACCTGGTAGCTCACAATAGTCTGTAATTCCAGTTCCAGGGAATCTGATGCCTTCTACTGACCTCTCAGGCACCAGGTATTCACTTGGTACACAGACATACATGTAGGAAAAACACCCATACACATAAAATAAAAATAACTGTTAAAAATAAAAAACAATTGAAAATGCATTTAATGATTGTGGGTTACATATAATCTCTTTAATCTATAACAGTTTCTCTGCCTGTACCTCCATAAATGGCTTGCATGTTTGTTCTTTCAAATTCATATGTTGAAATCTTATCACCAAATGTGTTGGTGTGAGGAGGTGAGGCCTTTGGAAGTTATTAGCACGAGGGCTTAGCCTTCATGATTGGAGTCAGTGCTGTCATAAAAGAAGTCTCAGCTGCCTCACCCTTTCTGTAGCTAGATGATGCCTTCAATTGAGAATGAAAAAGGCCTACAGTGTCTCAGATTCCAGAACCATGAGAAATAAATATCTGTTGTTTATAAGCCACTCAGTTTGTGGTACTTAGTTATAGCAATCAAAAAGACTCCACTTCATTTCTTCTCCTAACTTTGAAGAGTCCAGGCTGACTGTTGTGTGAAATCTCCTACAAATTTATCTGACTGGTTTGTAATGTAAATCAGGGTAATCTTGCCTGATCACGCTGGTGATATGACTGTGTTACATACATCAGCAGGCACTTAATATCCATTTGTCCCAATATGTATTCATTAAGAAATTCCTAATAAGCAAATTAATGAACAAATTAACAGCAAGGGCAAGGGCAAGCTGGAATTCAGGTCCTTTCCAAATTACATTAGACTGCTTTCACAGATATATTTAATGTAATTTAATATGTTTGCACACAAAACATCTATATATTATATTATTATATAATATATATTATGTTAAATATGCAAATTTATTATACTTGCTCAAAAAACATCTATAAAGGCCATGTTTTACATTTCAATTGAGACATTTGCTAATGAGAATTATTTATAAAAATGAAAAGTCTGATATAGAATAATGTTTAGAATATGAAGTTGATAAAACATTGAACCAGGATTATGTCTGTTCATCGGTTACAACTGTGCAGAAAACCACATTTGCATGCACATGCATGTGTGTGTGTGTGTGTGTGTGTGTGTGTGTGTGTGTGTGTGTGTGTGGTGTCAGCACGGCTCAGTCAGCAAAGTGCTTGCTGTGAAAGATGAGGACTTGAGTTTGATCTCCAGAATTCATGTAAAAACAATTGTAATCCTAGTGCTGGGGAGGTGGAGATGGGTGGATCCCTGAGTCTCACTGGCCAGCTAACCCAGCTTACTTGGTGAGCTCTGGACCAACAGAGCCTAAATGCCAAGGCTTTTCTGTGCTGTCCACACCCAGGAGCATGTGCTCAAGCATGTGTACACACACCTATCCCAAGTAAATAAATAACTTGTGGTACTAATTCAGGATTGCTGCAGGCCGCAGGAATATATCATAAGAACTCAGTTGATTATGGCAAAGTCACTACCCAGAGGGATCAAGGAATTCCTCCAGAGGAAGCCAAAACCCAAGGAGTTTTTGGTGTTACTTGGCTTGTTATGTATCAGCTGTCTTCTGTTATGAAAATCATGTGTGCCTTCATAGTTTTCCCAATTGACTTTTCCCTAAGAAGGGCTAACAGTGTGGATCACTGATCACTCTCTGGACATACACATTCCAGGTATTTGGAGAACTGCCTCAGGAAAGGCTTTCTCTGGAATCAGATATCTCCCTTAGCCACTTTCAAGGACTAGTAGTAATAACAGCCCACATGCAACTCTCCTGATTTAAGGTAAATTCCACAAGGAGACACCACCTAGGTCAGGTGGATGTTAAGTAATAGCTTTACACAATTTAGCTCAGACCCTCCCTTCTTACAGCCTTACTAACTTTATAGACCTCTAACTCCTTACCTAACCACTTCTAGGAATATTTAGATAACCTGTGTGCTAACAGCTACCCTCAGTCAGAACCCCAGTTCAAGCCTCCCTGTTAATTATCATCATTGGCAGCATCCGGCCA